GAGGTACATCCCAGGATTATTTGGCAAAGTATTTAGCACAGCACACCGATTAATTTACTATGCCTCTGACATTAATCTAACCACCTCAAGTAGGTCACTTAAATAACTATTTACTAGGGCCAACATAAGAATAGCTACATATTGGCAACAGCTTCCTTGTTAAATTACATTTATAGTCAAGGCATTCTGCAGGATGTACTCAGCCTCTGGGTTAGAGCTATGCTTTCTGACCCTTCACAACTTCCGAGAAGGGAAGTCTGGCCTGGCATATGGAATCTTGCAATAATATTGGTCATTGATCTCAATCTCATCTTTGTCCATCTAAATCACAAGAGATCTTTTCAAGAGCAGGAGTACAACATCAAAAAGATATTCAGTCAAGGATCAGTTTAATAGGAATTTTACAACCGCCCGCAGTACAGAAACTTTGAAAAAATCCCAAAATATTTGCAAATCAATAAAAAAGTTTCTCCTGGAAACACAAGCCTCTCAAGCTACAAGGAAAAAGATTTCCGTATCATTGTACTGTAAACTTCCTGTGACCTGTGGTAGTGCTAAGATTTAATTTACATACTAATGCTGCAAGCAGGTTGGGGGGTGTGGGGGGACAAGAGTTACTTAGCACCAGTAATGAGCAGAAAGGAAACGAAGGCAGCTACAGTCCCTATGGACTGTTATGTTTTCAGTAATTTTAGACTGTCTAATAACGCCTTTTAATAAACTGCTCTCAGCTTTAAAGCTGCAATCAGCCTTTGTCAGAGAACATAATACTGCCCCAGACAGGAAAATGGTTCTGACATAATGGACAAAAGACCCCATCTAAATAAAAGCTTCTTTACAAAAAAGAAAGTAGAAAAAAATTCCACGAGTGAAAGACATAAATTATGCTGTCTCTGCTGTGTTAAAGCAAAATACATTCTGAAAAAAAACACATTTTCTGATTTACTCTACTCCAGTCCTAGTTAACAATTAGACAAACTTGCTTATTTATAGGGTATTTATGCCCTACAAGTGCAATCTAAATTCTGGCTGATCATGTTAATTTTCTGTTTATAGTCTATGCTACCCACTTAGTTTCCAAGTGACTAACATGTGACACAGATTAACATTGCAATAGGCTATCCAAATTTAAGACTATTTCCACTCCACTCACTCAATTTAATGGCAGTTCTCACTGAAGCTAAAGTCTATCTATAAAAGCCTAATATATGTGTATATATATGATAGGTGAAACACGGATGTTCTACTCCATTAAACACAGGATTCCTCAAAACAGTGGGTCACCTTCACTGCTGACCAATGCAGGTCCAACTCCACTGTTGCCAAAACCTGCCATGCCACCATAAACTGGAACTGAGTCTACCCAACATTTGAGTTTAAAAGTTGGTTTATAAACCATTACTAATTCTACAAGAATTCAGTATCATACTTCTAGCATATGTATTTCTTAATTTTCATAACTCAAAGCACCAACAAGATGGAAACAAGATCACTTTTTCCCAAGGAATTCTTCTGATCTTTACAGTATTATCACCATCCTTTTCTCTCCAGCAACAGACTTCCTGTGATAGCAGTTATCACATTTCACAGATCAGAAACATGCCTAAAAATTAAGACACATTGTCAAAAAAATACCCAATCACTATAACCAGCACAAAATCTGTTTGTCCTGAAGATACACCTGTCACCTTAGTAGCATAGGTAGAGATCTTTGTTTAACCTCTTTTTAATGTAATTTGCTGGAGAGTCAGCAAAAACCACTGTGGCATTTGCTTATTGTACTTCGCTCTCCTTTAAGCAAAAATAAATTTTTCACTTTAAAAACAGATAATCTGTGGAGTTTAAGTAGCAAAATGGTAGCTTTCTTCTCTTGATATATTTCTGCCCCGCCTTATGGGAAGGGGAACTGACTGTATCTGTGACTGGCCAGTCACACTTTCTCTGAGGGGTGCCAGATACTAACAGCACATCAACACACACTCACAGCCAAACGCTCCTTTTGCCAATGAGATTTCGTAACGCTTCCTCCACTTCTGAAGCTCTCCAAAGAAAGGAAGTGCTAACTCCCTGTTAAAACATATAGTCCAAAGGACCCAAACTGTCTAATGTTTGAACTTTTTTTGCACAGAAATAGAGGGAAATTACTTTTTTTTTTTTCACGAAGGTACTTTTCTTTTTGCCTTTCTTTTTTTTACAGGTAGAAGCTGTATACTTCTCTCTAGCTAGTAGTAAAATAAGAAGGGGAGCAGGTATGAAATTCAATTAAGAATTGCCTTTTTAAAAAACAAATTATATTAATTTACTATTCATTTATATTCAGTGCCTGAATATATATCACGGGTAGGACAGACCTGAAATGCACATTTCTCAAGCTGAAAAAATTCTCAGTGAAATACAGGCTTCTAATCAGCTCAGACAAAATGCTAACAAGTACTGAATTAAAGTGTGAAGCAGCCAGTACTTTAAGAACAAGATCCCTAATATTGATTTTACAAAATAGAGTTTATTGGGAAGTCAAATACACATCTAGAGTCCTACATAGTTTTTCCACACTCAAGAGCTAAAAATTCAACAATATGAGACTATAAATCCTCCTACACCCTGATATTATTCAGGATTCTAACTTCTCCATGGAGACACAGACCCTTCCATCTCCACAGCACCACCGATTGATAAATAGACTGAGCAATGCTTGCACTGATCACGTAATGATCCTTTTTAAACTTGCTTCTGCTTGCAAGCTATTCCATGCTATCTCAGAAATACTGGAAAATAGCGGTAGCATGTAGTTATACACCCAGAGCTAAAGTAAGAGGTCACAGACAGGGCTTCTTGTTGCCATTTCCTAGCAATTCCCTGTCATTTCAATACACAAGGTTAAATTACTCCAGAAGCTCCCTACAGAGCTACCATTGTTTGTCAGTCAAGGCTAGGACACAATGGCACTTATTCATGAGCAACAGCGAACAGGCAGCTAAGGGCAAACGATCAGCATACAGTCTCAATTTTGTTCTTCTGCAAACAGTTTGTAGAAAGATGGCATTTCAAAACAAACGATGTCAATTTTTCAAAGCTTCAATGCATTCCTAGTACAAGCTACTTAGTAGGGGGTCCAGACGAAAATTAAGACAACTTGAAAGCAACACGAAGAGCACCCAAAAAACCCACTCACTCATCAAGACTGCTCCTGAAAAAGAGCTGCTTGCTACAACCACATGCAAAAAGTGTATGTTTTAATAGAGAAATACACACTCAGAAACGTTCAAAATAGCTGATTCTTTCCAAATACAGTCATACCATGCTTTTGTTCTTAGAGTACCACTTAGCGTTTAGCCTCAGAGCTTATATTACTAAGGGGTACAGACACCAAGGTTCCAAAGTGCACTTAAGGCTGTTTACTTCATATCTTCTGGTTAAGAACCCAAGAAGTTTAGGGTTTGTTTTTTTCTGGTTCTGTTTTGCTTTTCTTTTTTTTGGCATGTTAAAAATAGAAAAAACAAATGCAATATGACAGAAGTCCAATGCTGCTGATAACTGGAGAGACAGAAGCCTCACGCACCTCTTCATTGTTTTGCCTTTTCTACTTCAAAACTTGCAAGAGCAAAGACTTTGTCTCCTGATCCTATAAGGGGAAAAAACATTTTCAGTAATATTAGCAGAAATAGTGAATTTCCTTATATACAATTTAATTCAAGCAAAACACTTGAGATAAAAAGAAATCAAACCTACATTTCAATAACTAGAACACTTCAGCTAATTTTGAAAAAAATACTGGCCTGACAGGTCTGAAACCAGCCCTGGGGTACTGGCTCTGGCTGGGATGGATTAAACTTTCCCCGCTGCAGCTCTCGTAATGCTGTGCTTTGTATTTGTAGCTAGAACCGTATTGATAACACACCAGTGTTCTGGCTGCTGCTAAGGCTGTTTACTTCATATCTTCTGGTTAAGAACCCAAGAAGTTTAGGGTTTGTTTTTTTCTGGTTCTGTTTTGCTTTTCTTTTTTTTGGCATGTTAAAAATAGAAAAAACAAATGCAATATGACAGAAGTCCAATGCTGCTGATAACTGGAGAGACAGAAGCCTCACGCACCTCTTCATTGTTTTGCCTTTTCTACTTCAAAACTTGCAAGAGCAAAGACTTTGTCTCCTGATCCTATAAGGGGAAAAAACATTTTCAGTAATATTAGCAGAAATAGTGAATTTCCTTATATACAATTTAATTCAAGCAAAACACTTGAGATAAAAAGAAATCAAACCTACATTTCAATAACTAGAACACTTCAGCTAATTTTGAAAAAAATACTGGCCTGACAGGTCTGAAACCAGCCCTGGGGTACTGGCTCTGGCTGGGATGGATTAAACTTTCCCCGCTGCAGCTCTCGTAATGCTGTGCTTTGTATTTGTAGCTAGAACCGTATTGATAACACACCAGTGTTCTGGCTGCTGCTGAGCAGGGCTGGCACAGCATCAAGGCTGTTGTCCCCCCAAAGGCCAGTCAGCTTGGGGTGGGCAAGAGGTTGAGAGGGGATGTAGCCAGGACAGTTGACCCATACTGACCACAGGGATCTTCCCTGCCCTATGACACCACGCTTTGCAACAAAAGCTAGGAGAAAGGAGGTGGTAGGGGATTCATTATTAAGGCATTCGTCTTCCAAATGAACTGCTACATGTACTGAGGCCCTACTTCCCAGGAAGTAGCTGAACATTGCCTGCTGATCAGACGTAGAGAATAAATCTTTTTGATTTCCTTTGCTTCTGTGCACAGCCTTTGCCTTTCCTTATTAAACTGCCTTTATCTCAACCTATGAGTTTCTCATCTTATTTTCTCCCCCGTCCTGCTGAGGAGAGGGAATGAGAGAGCGGCTTGGTGGGCACATGGTGGCCAGCCAAGGTCAACCCACCACACATGGAGAGTTTCTAACGAAGGACCCTTTTGGGTTCGAGGGTTCTCACCGTGCTTACGCTCTCAGGAAGAGAAGTACTGAAAGGTAGGTCACAGAGACAGCTTATTTGTACTTTCACCTAGTCTGGCATGCTCCTGCCATTCATAGTTCTTTCATCACAGTTCTAACTATAATGCTCAAATGAACTGTTGTGCTTTTTTAATGCACACTATAACTGAACTTTTGGTCTTATCAATACGATGAGAGTTATGACAACAAGAGTGCTTTAAAGCTGTATTTTGACAATATGCCAATAATTGCGGAATCCTCTGCATCAAGCAGAGGAAACGGCTCTCCCGAAGAGAGGCATTAATGCAAAAGAGATCTGTGTTTAACTGTCAGAATGGTATCTCTGCTTGAGACAGACTATTCAAGCCTTCAGCATTATGGGCACGACTTGGCATTTTATGGACATTTGGCATTGGATTTTTTGCTGCATTACTTTTTCCTCATGGACAATGTATCAGTTTCATTGTTAATATAACAGAAAAATGTACATCAAAATTTAACTGCATGAATCTTTTGTTCATATGTTCTCTTTCACAGGGGAATCACAGGTATTTCTATTCATCAGGGTTCAATGAGGGAAAGAAATTGGAAGTTATGAGAATGAAAACTCACCAAGGTCAGTGGAGACTCTCTCAAACTGGCTCAGGGCTGTACCAGCATTTGCTGACAAGAACACCTCATCGTCTGGAGTGAGCTAAATCAAAAAAGGCCATAACTGTGAACTTGGGACCTCAACTATGCATATTCCTGCCACTTTAATTCCCACCATCTGCATAGGCCTATACATGAACTATGAAAGGTTACACCGATGGTCAATTTGCAGTTTTTAAGTGGCAGTGTTATCTAACATATTAGAAGCCAATGTAAAAATGCAAGCTACTCCCCCTATCACTGTTTTTTTTCTCAGTGGCGTCTGCCAGCCCAGGAAGGATAGCCTATGCACATCAGACATGTCTCTACACTCACCACTAAGTTTCAAGCTGACCTCCAGTGATAATTCTCAATGAAAAGGTCACGTTGCACCTCTGTACCAAAACTATGCAAGGCATGTCAATTACTTTTTTGTAATGTAGTCAATACAGTAACAAGCTAAGATGTAAACTTACTTCATATCATCTACTGAGGAATGCAAAAACACGTAGTCACTACCAACTTTGACCATGTTAAGACTCAATAACCTAGAAATCGTTCTCTTCCTTTAAAGTGACATTTGCGCAAGTATATTTTGCTTTTATGTATGCGCTTTGATGCCTTGTGACAGATGCCCATAAAATATTTACAATAATTAAGTAGTAACCTACATTTGGAAAGTTCAGATACTCTAAGTTAAAACTCACTCGTTTAAGTAGCCTAAGATACATATCCTTGTTAAAGCAAAGCATAATTGTGTCAAACTGTCCAGTGTTTGTGTCAGTTTATTTATTAAAAATATAGAAATCAGGTATAGACATTCAGAATTATGTTGGAATAAGGTAAAAATATTAAGTTACCTGCCTCTGCAAGCAAGCATTCAACTATTTAACATTTTGTAACACTGTGCAGACAAACCTGTAACATTTACCGTAATTTCTCACATTCAGAACAGATGTGAAACTACTATCCTAGCAAGTCCTCTGTGAGGTAGGCTACTGATAATTTTAATAGATAAAGAGGCTATGTCAAAGCATGGTGAAGTGGCTTGTCTGATGTGTCCAAGGAACTCATGCCAGGAGGATTACGTATGTTCATGCATTCAGTTCACAGTCTTAATTAGCCTTTTAACCTATTTCCAAAACATTTTTTTTCCCCTGACAGTCAAGCAATAAAAACATTCTGAGGGACAGCATTTGCTAATATCATCTACTTGGAATACAGCTCCTTTAAGTCCTGCACTTGATCTTTTCCATTACATGCCCTCATTTCCTAATGAAGTTTAAGTACAGCGATACACAGCAACACATTTTCTTCATATACCATCAACAAAAAACCCCCAACTTCTCTTCCTCCCTCTAGTGGTAAAAAACACGGATCGTTCTGCCACAGATTTACTTATTGGGGAAACAAACTGTATCACTCATCTCTCCAATTTATCTTGCACCAAGAGGTAGGTATTGTCACCAATACAAAAGTAAAGCTCAATGTACGTCAAAAGGCTTGGATAGTTCCCGCCAGGTGGATAGATGGTAGTTAGCCACTAAAAGACTTGTTTTGTAGCTTTTATAAATGATCATCGACTTGTACTGGCTTGTGATTCATTCATACGACCCATCAAAGAAAGCATTTCAAAGCAGAAACAGCCTTATATAAATGCACGATACTATCTGATGTATGTTCAGCAGCAAGTGCTTCAGAAAGCTTAGCATTAAAATGGAAGGACCTTTATGTACTACAAAAGCAAGCTCCTTTTTATCATTTGCTCATAAAGAAAAGGTGCAACTTCTTATTTTCATTATTTCAAACTGCTCTTCAATATACAGATAGAAATTTCTGTCCACTTAACTATCACACCTTACCTTCTCACCAAGCTTTCTGAGGGCAGTCAGGATTTCCAGTTTCTGCTGTGTGTATAGGTCTCGTTTCAACTTCCCAACCATTAAGTCTCGGTCCATCTGTATACCAGGGGGGAAAATAAATCAAAATACGTAAGCTTCCCATTACTTTCACTCAACACAACAGCATGAGCAATACAACGGCCTAGAAATGTCATCAGTAAGCATGGAAGCAAGGGACAGAACTACCCACAATTTAAAGGATGGCCATGAAGTTTTTCTGACCATTCCGCAAATAGCCTTTGCACCCAACCTTAGCACTCTACTTTGTCCAAACTTGAATCTCTTCTAATCAAAGACTGGTAGTCATTCAAAATTACAGATTCACATATCACTGATACATGGAGGAACCACATTTCATTTCACTTTATCTGGATCTCAAGTTCAGTCCAGATCTCTGAAACACTGAGGGCACTCTCCAGTCCCTCCATACAATTACAGATTCACATTCTTCAGATTTTCTATTTGCACTTAGTTCACTATCTGTTAATCACATTTTTGTTTTGAAGCAGCAAGATAGAAAATAATAAAAGAAATACACATTGTTGTCCCCGTTACCTTAATGAACATTTAAGACAGAACAAATTCTGAAAGAGAACTTCTCTATCTCCTTGTGATGCTGCCAGCAAGGTTTCTAACACACTTGGTGCTCTTCGTAGAAATCATTACAAATTTAAATCAGTCTAGCTCAAATAAACAGTTTTTACAGAAAAAAGAAACCTTCACCTCTGCCAGCCTTGTCCGCAATTGCCTCGGTTGTTTCTTTGCAAACATTCTAATTACTTCTGGAGTTTTAAATGCTTGGCTGATGGCTGCTTGTATTGCCTATGAGGAAAAGAGCAAGAATGACCAGAACTAATAGCAGTCACAAGCTATAGCTGCATGACAAGATTAATGAAGGCTGGAAAGCATCATTAGTATCCTCTGCATCATTTCATTAAAGAGATCTTTTATTTTTTTTGCATAATCATGGAAGCTAGATGAAAAAACATATGACCTTTACGCAGGGCTTGTAAAATCCACTGATTCTTGCAACTACTCTAAGAGCTGTGAAACTTTTCTTTACAGTCCAGCTCTTAATTTGTAACGATTTCCAACATTTTCCTCATATTAGCACATCACAAGTAGATGTGCTCTGCTACCGTGAACAGTTTTATTGCCCAGACCAATGATTATAGCTCTTGTATGGGTAATCAGAATGTAAATGATAAGGTAAATCTCGTATTGTTACTCAAGATCCCCTATGGAGTATCAAAACTATTATGATTAAATCTCACCACAGTTACGTGTGGACAAACCATGATCTCTCTGGAAACAAAACCCTAAAACATACGGCTCAGAAAACAAATAATGCTCTTACTAAACTTCTGAAAAGACAGAAAATAGATCAGAAGTTTGGAAGTCAGCATAAAATAAGATCAATTCACTAAAACAACCTGAAATTACAGTCATTCCTAAAGCCTTTTCATCTGGACTGGTATGAATCTCTGAAATACAAATCAGTAATAAGAGCACAAGAAACGCTATCTTTATGCTTTCTAACAAGCAGGCATGAACTTTACTTCTCATCATATATATTGTCCTGGATTGTCCCTCACAACTTTTATATTAATTTGTTTTATTCTATGTTATTTTCTAGTATTAAGGATATATTTAGTCCCTGCAATTTCACAGTTTTTTCTACAGTGTTATGGTTATAATTCTTCAACGCTTTTTTCCTTTTAAAATCAAGAGAGCTGACAAGTTTTTATATGTACACATATGTTAAATAATAAAAAAATTAGACACATAGATCTAGCTTTCACATGTGCCTGTGTAAAAATTATAATGAATTTAATGAAATGACATTATAATGAACCACTGTTTCCTGTTTCACTGAGTCCGGGCAGAATGTGAGCTATTTTTAGTAACACAACATCCTTACCAGTTGCATCCCGCTGAGCTCGTCCACCAAAGTCATATCTCCAGACATAATCTTCTTCAGCGAGTCATTGATCTCACTCAGCTGTTCTAGAGTTTCTTTTTTGGTCTCTTCATACTCATCTGCATCTAGCTCCTCTCTAAAGAGGATCCAACAAGACACATTAATTCACAGGACCAAACTTGAGACATAACGGGGAGAAAAAGACATCAAGTATCATGAAGCATGCCTCCTCAGATAGCAATTAAAACATGCACCTCACTTCAGACTGTTCTGCTCTAGCCCTCTTAGCAGTTACTTAGCTAACCCGTACATAGTTTTCTTGGGTTTGCACCACCTCCTAGCCACCCATGCACCTGTGTCATTTGTATGAAGTCACCGGTATTAAAAGGCCCTGACAACTATGGGACACTCAACACTTGGTGCAGTGTTTAAAAGTGTATTTTGGGTCTCAACAGAAATACACAGTTAAATTGTCTTGCTTAAAGTTGCGGTGAATCAAATTATCTGAAAAGCCCATCTCCTCACCCCAAAATCATCAAGTTATTCAGGAATAACTGATCCTGCTGTCTAAACCTTGCCCGACTCAAAGAATAGCAGTACCAACCATTAGCAGTTATAATTGTTCTTCAAAAAGTATGTACTGCTTGGACAAGTTAGAATGATAGTCAGAGAAAGCACCTAAAACCACACAAGGTGTTTAAATGCAAGTACCGAAACAGAAAAAAAAAACCCTTTTCCTTGGTAATTCAGTCCATCTCAAATTTTATTAGCCCACAAAAAACTAACACAAAATCAGATGAAACAAACCATATGAAAACGTCAGACAAATTAAAAAAAAACCGAAAAACCCAAAACCCCAAACAGCCGTAATTATAAGACCACACAAAACAGATACAAAAGCAAATAACTGCTATTAAAAAAGCCCATATGAAAATTGTAAATTCTGTAAACAGCTATTAAAAGTTACAAAGCCACACTGAAATACAAAATTTCAAAGAACACAGCAATGAATATTCTGCCCGCATTTTCCTCAAGATGATAAATCGAATGAGTTTAAGTCCAGGTGGGTCTTGAATATCTCCAGAGAAGGAGACTCCACAGCCTCCCTGGGCAGCCTGTTCCAGTGCTCCGTCACCCTCAGAGGGAAGAAGTTCTTCCTCATGAAAGATTTTTAAAAATTATTTCTACTGCCTAACACAAACATCACACATAATTTTTAAAAAAATAAAGCCACAGCAAAACACAAAATCCCACCAGAATTTTGAAACGTACCATTTTCTTCTGCCAACCACTTATGAAAAACATTACTATGTAAGAGAAAAGCATCTATTTCTATTACCTGCATTCCTCCAGATCTTGAAGTTGCTGCATTAATCTATCCAACTGCTCTTCCAAATTTTGTTTTAGTTTACTGGTCTCTGTTGTTCCTCTTGAAGCCATTTTCTGTTTTCACATGAAAATCTGAAGTTACATGACACTCCTAGAACAAAGAACATTTTATTGTTGTGTATCAACAACTTAAAGCTTCTTTTAAAACAGTCCAAGCATCAATAAAATTATTCTAATATCCTGATGATGGAATGTCTAATCAATACACTTGGAGCTCCTTGCAGTGGAAATAGAGAAGTGTTAGTGTGGGTCTGCAGGATTGTTCTTTGTAGTAAGAGGCGGTTCACCAAGGTAGTAACTCAAACAGCCACAGCACGTAAACCCAAACAAGTCTGAAACCAGGCAGCAACCACTGAAATACTGAGGTCCCGCTATATGAAACAACAGATTCTGCTCTTCAGCTGCCCCTCGGGAAACTATTTAGGAGACCACAACCCGGGTACCGGTGCCTGAAGCACGCAAACACCTCAGATAGTACCATTAGTTGTAGAAAACGAGAGCACTCCAGAGAAAACTGGTGCTTCTTTGGGTATCGGACAGAAGCCCACGGTGACGATCTCTGGGGCATTCGCGCACCGGCCCGACAGCCGCTGCCCAGCAAGTTCCGGGGTTTGCACTAACGCCAACGGCTCCCGCAGCCCCCCGCCAGGAG